GTATGTGCAATTTAAGAAACAAAACAAACAAGGGAAAACAAAATGAGAGAGACAAACCAAGAAACAGCTCTTAATTATAGAGAACTGATGGTTACGGGGGGGTGGGTGTAGGGGGATGGATTAAATAGGTGATGGGGATTAAGGAGTGCACTTGTAGTGATGAGCACAGGGTTATGTATTTAAGTTCTGAATCACCATATTGTACACCTAAAACTAATACTACATGTTAACTAACTAGAATTTAAAAAAGAACAAACATTAGAAATGTGGTATTTTATTTAATCATCATCTCTTCCACTATGAAATGGAAGGAATGAAAGGCTTCACCGAAATGTTTCTAGTGGAACTGGTGGAATAGAAGAAAATGATAGATTTTATGGAAATCATACTGTCACAATTTTATCATCTCAAAATATGAGTATGCTATACTACATACTACATGAGTTTTATATAGAAAAAGTCTGACTTGGGAAGAAAGGGAACAAAAAAATAGGAGATACCCTCTCACATGATTTATGAAAATTCTAACATAGTAAGTTGCACCCAAATTATAAATTCCTACGGAAAACTCAACTTTATTGCCAAAGCTACTAAAGAGATGACTGATGTCCTGCCTTCAAGCTACATCACACATACCTGGAAGGGCTATGGTAGATTATTATCATTTCTGAATGTACTTTAACAATAATTACCACACCATATACTAAGTATTCATTAGTTCCTGACACTGTTTTAAGCGTTCTATATACACTAATTATTTGAACAAAGCTATGAATTAACTATTATCTTTAAAAATAAGGAAATTGAAGCACAGAGAGTTATTTGCCCAAGGTGATACAGATAAGTGGCAGACCCATGACAGTCCAGCTAATAACTACCCTAAAACACTGATTATATACATACTATGTACCAGAAGACAACACAAAGAAAACTCGATCAATGTGGCTATAACATACATTCTTTATTTCAAGGATTACCTATTTGCAAACAAACGTCATTATGATTTTTAATAACTCATAAATCCATAAGTCAGAAAGTAGCTCTTATATAAAAGTAAACTAGCATAAAACATCCAACGTGTAAACCATGTAAAACTACATCAAATTTAAGGATTACTGTTACTATACTGTCAAGTTTCAGTAATCTTTATGAGAGTCAGTGAAATGAAGAAAATACAAAATATACATTATCTGTCCCAGCCCACAGATCACTGGTAGGCATATAACTACAGATAGATATGGTCTACTAAATAAAACTGCTAAATAATGCAACTTATTCCCATTAATAATTCCTAATTAAGCAATCCTACTTAATTAATCAGCATAACTCCAAAGTTGGTAAAATTATGATAAAATTGGTGTAGATTCTGACAGTATAGACTTGCTCAATCAACTCTTTGGGGAGGCAAAAATCTGGCAATAAAGTCACATTTATATCCTTTGACCTAGTAATTTCATTTGAGATTAGTATCCTACAGAAACAATTCAAAAAAAATATATACGTATAGAGATGCTCAATTCAATGTTAAAATAGAAACTGAAAACAATCATTTTCCTGTTGGGCATTTAAAATTGAGGAAATTTTAATGGTCAATTGGTAAACTATCATGTAACCATTATCGATCACCAAGGTTAGACAATATGGGGAAATGCGAAGGCTGTAAAAATAAAACATAACTGTATCTAATGATAAAATTCTGTAAAAGCTATAATATATATGCAGAAATTAGAAGGTGATAAAAATAATGAAAAGTCATTTGTCAGTAGGGCAAATTCGTAGTTGATTTCTAGTAACACTAAGTGTTCAGTAAATAGAAACATAGCCCACACACAAGAATTAGAAAAAACAAAGCTATAAAATTGGAAGAACAAAGCTATAAAGTTGGAACGACAAAAGTTTAGATTCAGGTAAGCAAACTAAAGAACATTTAAGGAATTTGTAAATTAAGGTAGTATTATAAAGATGTACACTACTAGCCAAAGAACCAAAATACACTTGGTATTTTGCCAACTGGCTTTTTGCCAATTTTAATCATTCCCACCCTGTTTTCCCTACTAATCTTGTTGAGAATCTCTGTGGTAATAAGCTACTACTACTGTTAGGAGTTTCTATTCCTTGGGTATTAAGACAGAAAAAAACGAGAATCACTATCTTTGTTTTAAGATAGAGAATGCAGACATGGGTGAATTAAGCCTCGTCCCAAAAGCATTCCATTTACATCCCTTCTTGTTACAAAAAAATGTTTTTAATCACCCTACTACCACTGCCAAAATGCCAAGAAGGGGGAAAAAAAAAAGCATCACTTAAACATACTTAAAAGTGTAAATGAATATACATTTCAAGAGTGTTAAAAATAAATGAAAATAGTATATATAAATACGTGTATCTATAATTATATAATACAGGACACATTTATAGTAATATATGTAAAATAATTCCAATTATTGTTGGCCATAAAGGTCCACAAACTTCCTTAAATTTTTATGAAATTATATTTTACTCTAACTTTTTAATCTTGAGCTCAAGAAACAGAGCAAAAGAAATAAAATGTTTTGTGGGTTTTCCCCTGGACGTATATAGTGAATACTATCGTTAATACCTCTTAAGAATTACATTAAGAAAATATGCAGTATTTTAGGTGAGTCCCTTAGTCTCAAGGAATAGGTGTGAGTTAAAGGATAAACACAGAAATACTAAGTTAAACTACTGACTACAACAATGCAGATTTGTTTTCCTATAGTACATTTTAATTACAGTGAATAGTATAGCAAGTACTAAATGTATTGATTTTTATAAGGATCAGTTGACTATCCAATTACTGTTATTCAATGGGTTTTTGAAAAGAGAGATTGTATTATCTGCTCAAGATGACACAGATAAGATCTACACATTTGATCTAACATGATCTAACAGTTTACCAGCAGAGAACATCTAAATCATTAAAACCCAACTTTTTCAAAACACAAAAATTTAGGTAGGAAAAATGTAGACTATTTCTTCAGACTTAATGCTAGTTATTGTAGACATTTGATGTATAGCATAACATTTTTAAAAATGATATTGATAGCTTTCAAATCCTGAATACCAAGAAAAAGCACTGCTACAAATTATGTTAAAGAGCTGACATGATAACCTTAATATGTACTGTTATTTTAGTTTAAATATATGAAACAAATACTCCAAGTAAATACAGGCATTTCTGGATTACATATTTAACAGATTATGGTAAAGTGCCCCAAAGAGAAATAAACATTCTAATAAGGTTATTTTAAAAAGAATTTCCAGGAAATGCAATCAGATCTACAGAAGGCATATGTACCTTAAACACACAAAGAGTTCCTGAAAGCTCCTTCCTTACTGACAAATACAAACACCTATGTTCTAAATTACAATATGGTTCAAATAATTGAAAATTTAATGGCAGTAATCCTCTCAAAAAAGATAAAACAGGTCTTAGGAAAGCAGCATATGAACCACCATAAATTTGTAAGATTCTTATAAATTACGTTACAAAGACTCGGATTTTTGTTATTCAATTATTGATGACCAAAGATTCAAGAACATCCTTAACTCTAATTCTTTATCTGCAGAAGGGCATCTCTATTTTTTTTTTTTTAACACACTTTACAAAGATGTTCCTGCAGTTTTGAAAAGTGTTTAAGTGGATTCCTAAAGTCAATGTAACAAATTTAATTACAAGATGTAATTGCTACTGTATTTGTCTTTCAGGTCACTTAACCCTGTAGGGATGACTTTTTAAACAAGCTTATCACCTTTATAGTTTTGGTACAATAGACCAAGGTTACATGGCTATTTAAAAATTACACCTAGAAAGGCTATTACTGACAGCGCCAGTCGTTTCTTCAAAAAGGACCAAAAGTGTACTCAGAGGAATTAGTTTTTGTTTTGATTTCAAGTATGTATATTAAACTTACGCATTGTTAGTCTCCATAATTTAAAATTCCTAAGAAATTATAACTTTCACATAATTTAGGTATTAGTCAATAGGGTGAAGGTCCATGAAGTGTAATCCCTTTCATTCCATCATATTCACAGGAGCTTTGCTCTTGGCCTCAACCAGTTTTAAACTCTCCCTTAAGCAAAGGCAATTTTATACTACCTAGGGACACAAAATAGTCCCTGGCTCCTCCGCCTTCTCCTTCCTCTAGCGAGCTAACACAGAAAATACACACATACACACACACAATCTCTCGGCCCTGCTCCCTAGGGCATCAATAAAAAGCACAGGTTATTCCCCTACAGAGGCTCTGCAGTCCATGCAGGGAGGTAAAAAATGGGGGAAAATACCAGAATCAATCTGCACCCACACCTCAGCCCCGCCCCACCGGGAAAAAGTGGGGGGTGGCGGGAGTGTGAGGGGGCAGAAAGGACAGAAAAGGCCGAGACTTTCAGCTCACGGGTTCTCCATACCATTTGTTCCATCATGTTCCACCACAGGCAGAGACCCTGACCCTATTTTCTGCTGCGCCTCCCGATGCTCATCCCGGCCACCATCACTATACACAGTCCCCAACCACTGAGTCCTGGGTGGGGAGACCAGAGCCGGCCCTCTTCCTGCTAATCCAAGGACTGAAGGGGGTCTCCCTGCGCCCTCCGCGGATACGACGTGGAGCCCGGAGACCTCTGAACTAACCAGAGAAGGGGGAAGATAAATCGGGGGGAGGGGTCTAAGAGGAGCCGTTATTCCTTTTTCCTCTTCGTTAGGAAAGCGCGCGAGCGGGGAGGGGCCGGAACAACGAATGCCAGTTACCTAACGGTCCCGCCCGGCCGGTCGGGCTCCCGAAGCAGACGCCGCGCGAGTCGCTGAGGTGGCAGTACAGCCTCAGTAGCCCCGAGGGCTAGGCACTGAGGCAGGAGCGCCCGAGGTGATGGGAAGCGGGGGGTGGGGACTACGGTGAGCGACGTCGCCATGTTAGTGCCTTCTTTCTCCATATCCCTACAGTCTCCAGCCCTACGGCCTCCTCCCCATCACGACTCACCTTTCCAGGACACTAGTTCATGCTTCTCTCGGTCGCCAGGGAGGCCCGAGCTCAGCCGTGTTTACAAACTACCCCGGGAGGAAAGGGCTGAACCGCACTTTAAAGGCCACGGGCTCCCACAGGCTTCCGTCCTCTCTCGCGAGATCGGACTGACACCCCCCCCCCTTCTCCCCGCCCCACTCCCGGCATCCCCCCTTTCTTCTCGCGCCCCTCCCCTCCACACACACGCCCCTTCTTGCCTCCTTTCCGTCGGAGCGCCTCCGGGTCAGGTGATTCCGTCCTCCTTAAGGGGGAGGGGGCGGTACCTCAGGAGGGCGGGGAAGGAGGGGGCGGGAACCAAAGAACACTCACTAGCTGACGATTGGACAAAGAGCCCGGAGGGCGGGAAGCAGTTCTGGAAGGGGGTGGGACCGCAGAGCCAGAAGAGGGGAGTCGCCGTAGGCCCTGCTGAAGCCTGCGATTGGCAGGGGCTGCAGACTGGCGTGGGTGGGGGACGCTGTAACCCCTGGATGTTGGGGTCGCGGGAAGGGTTTGACGGTGTGCGGAGAAGTAAGGTGAACTCTGGAAAAGGCTGCGAGTGGCGGGAGGGAAAGCGCGATGAGTCCTCCGAGCTCTGCCACAGAAGCCCGGTATTTTTGTTGCTGTCGCTTCCTGACCCTGGGTAGGAAGGAGGGCAAAACGTTAGACAGGCGCGCGCCTAAACCCACTTTACTGCCACTCTGAAGCCTGAGACGGGGAGTTTTCGTTAAGCTGAGGTTGGGAAGAGGAGTTTGCAGCAAAGTACCCCCAAGGCCTCTACGCGCCTAAGGCGGGAAAGCAAGATAAGTCGGTTTTGAAAAGAAAAGGAAAAGCCTTTACTTTGGATGGTATTTGTTCGAATTTTACTTAGCTATAACTGAAACTGATTCTTCCGGCTCCTGAACGCCTGGTACAGTGTAGGATATTAGCATATAATTATGTTCTGAGTAACTTACCAAAAGAAATACAGTGCCCTCCACTATATAACCGTAAGTTAAAACAGTGCAAGGAGTTGTTTATAGGAGAAAATCTATAATAAGGTGTATTCTATTTTATCAGTTTTCTTTTACTTAGTAGTTACAGATTTTAAACATACCAACTTTAATAATGTCAAACTTTTAAAATATCAGCAACTCCTTATTAACATTTACAAAGGACCAAAGGACACCAAATTAGAATATGGAATGGAAATGGATCTCTTCCCAAACTACTATTCCACTGCTCACTGGGTTACTACAGTGACAAAGAAATGTCTGTCAAGCTTTGAAAGTAGCTGTTTTAAAAAGCATGGAGAAGGAAGACCATTTGATTAATTTAACATGAGGGACAAAAGAGACCATATATACTGTTCTGCAATTGACACAGATATACTCCTGAAAACACAGAAGAATAGTGCTGAAAATATTTTTTTAATGTTGCTCTATGATTCTCTATATAACAAATATTTCAACGTTAAGTGTGGGGATATTGATTGTTCAATAAATATGCACAATGAAAAGTATGATCATAGGGGGCTCCTGCGAAAATTTGTTTTAACTATTTTTTAAAAAGCCATTTTTTTCATCTATTATGTGACTATAAATTATGAATAAAGTTTATGTATTAGTATAAAATGCACTCTCAAACATCCAAATCAAAGTGAAACTGAAATTATTGGAAGATTGTGAGGTATTGTATTTGAAAGTTAATAAGTGTGCAGTTCAATAATGGTATCTGGCATAAAAGTGAAATTCTGATGGCACTGAACCTTTTACCAGATTTCTGGCCTGTGTACATATATGTGAGCCAACTCACTCTTTTAAAACTAATTTCATTATTCAAAAGACCAGAAAGAAGCCAGAATATTAACACTGTTTACTTCTCAAGTTAAAATGAAAGTACTATCCCTATCTAATATCAGTGACACTGTAATAGTGTTTGTGTCATGTAGGACTAATTATATCAGTTAAACCTCGCAGCTCAGATTACTGATACTGAATATGATGATGGACAAGGGGTGCAAATGGCAAATCACAAGTTATTAGATCAAGTATGTATTCACTAAAACCGTGCTTTTCTCCAACTCTGAACATGTCTAATGTGAGGAAAAGAACTATAAGTGTTATGGCATTGCAAAAGAAATTTGCATCAATTAGATTTTCTTAAAACAATTATTTTCTATTCACTTATATCAAAAATTCAAAATTCTTTTCTCCACTTTTGATTCATTTTCAGTTGGCAGTAGATTTGGTTTTAAATTTCTCCCCCTCATCCCTACTTCTCCAGTCTGTTGTCAAGTAGTTAAATATCTACATAATGCATATGTAGAGGAACATGTTATTTTATTTATTTATTTATTTATTTATTTATTTATTTATTTATTTATTTTTAATATTTTATTTATTTATTTGATAGAGAGAGACACAGTGAGAGAGGGAACACAAGCAGGGGGAGTGGGAGAGGGAGAAGCAGGCTTCCCGCCGAGCAGGGAGCCTGATGTGGGCTCGATCCCAAGACCCTGGGATCATGACCTGAGCTGAAGGCAGACGCTCAACAACTGAGCCACCCAGGCTCAGAGGAACATGTTATTTTAAAGAAAATCTTTCAGGAGCCCTCAAAGAACAAAGAAGAATTATTTAGTAATATAAATAGTACTCTGCTCTGTTGTGAGAATGCAGTTTTAGCTACTTTTCTTTTTCAAAAAGTAAACAAAGTGAGAAAAAAATAAAGGAGATCACAGGGAAAAAACAGGTGGAAAGGATGCAAACTGTTCCATACCATGTTGGCAACCTGGTAGTTAGAAAATGTCTTGCTTTATATATTTGTAATTCCACAACAGTTCCTTTACTATAACTTTTCTACAAATGGAGAAAAAATTCAGCTTAGACAAAATGAATGTAGTTATTATTTTCAGTTCTGATCTCGTGAACTTGTCTCACTCTCCATATCTTAATAAAACACTTTGCTTTTCAATTTTTTTCTCTTTGTCATGCCTCAGTATCCCCTAACAGCCCTAAAATTCTCTACAGTCTTCTCTTTTGCAAATGCAGGAAATTTGTTCTGGACCCCTCCTTTGCCTGTCTTATCATTCCATACGTACGTCTACGCAACTTACTCCTAAGAAAATTAGTGAGGATCTGGTAAACCTCCTCTAAGAACCCAGCATGACTTCTGAGTAAAATTGGTATCGCTTAGATACAAGAGGCTATTTGAAGAACACTGTTTCTATCACAGAAATGCCCATTATTACATACTGCAGGAAACAATGGAGGCCTCTATTTGCTCTCAAAACCTTCCAAATGCCACAGAATGTTGTATTTCCACCTTGTTGAGAAGAGCTATTATGTGGTTATTAATCCATTAATCTGCTATGGTTCTTAAGAACTCAACTAAAACCCTACTCAAGTATATATATTTATATAAGGTATTTAAATATACTAAAATATAAATATACAGGTATGTATATATGACAACTAGAGTGAAAAGGAAGATTTAATTTGTAAGTTTCTGTTATAGCTAAACAAAACACAGCATATTCCAGGGCATCCCTTATGTCTGCCTTGGACTCAGAGAAAGCCTCTGCATTTTCACAGGTATCTTCAAGATGCAGCCCAGTACAGTACAGAGTGATGAGATGAGGACAGCATGGCCCTAGACATTTTAGTTGATTTTTTGGTTGCTTCTACCTCATGGTAGATCTTCTTTCCTTCCCCCCTACAACCCAGGGTTTTCCTGCACATCCCTGAAATGGCCTACATCATAGTTAACCTTTCAGCATCTGTTCTCACTATGGGAATTTCCATTCAGAACATTTCAAGTACAAGGAGGGTCCTTGTCCACTTCCCACCCCCAGTCTTTGGGTCTCAAAAGAGTTTGTAATTAATTGCGTGTGGCATTGTGGGGGAAAAATTAGAGGGCTGTATTTATCTTCAAATCATACTTTAGCTTATGCCAGTCTCAGCGAGACCAGTCCAAAGAGAAAGAATGGAATTTAAAGGCCTACTTTCTAGCCTTAGTATCAATGCCTCCTCCTACCTCTCTCTCATCACACTAACTTGAAAGAGGGTTTATCATCAGTATACTTAGCTTTCCACACACTATAAAGTTACCAATACAGGTAGATGGAACCACTCTTAGGGTAAGGAATTTTGTCTGGCATTCCAGTGTCTACCCTTGATGACTCCCCATAACTAGTATGTCAACCCGAGGCCCACATAATAGCAAAGCCATGAATTCCTTATGCCAGAAACCAAGAAAGGCCTGGTCATATGGACCCTCCCAAGCCATAGACTGATACCTTTCTCTTTCCAGTTACATTCTCACCTTGGAGACAGCCTCTTATGTTAACTGTAAACCTAATGCTCTGTTTCTATAGTTTACTATTCATAAAGTATCAATATTTATTGAGCATGAACATGCCAGGCACTGTTCCTGGCCCTGCAGCTACAACTATAAACAAGACACAGTCCCTTAAGGAGACTTTCATGGGAGAGGAGGCGAGTCACAACACATTTACCAGCAATATAAACAGTAGTAAGTGCTGTGGAGAAAATAAAGCAGAAATGTGATAACATGCAGTATTATAAGTTTACCCCTTTTGTACAACTTTAGGGGTCTTGAGAGCTAAAGATGTTTTAGATGTCTCTGGAGAGGTAGATAAATACTTTGAGTTGTCCTTTAGATAGAAATCTTGAGGGAATAATACTGAGCTGTCCAGTATCTGAGAGACTCAGCCAAACTATGTTACTATTTGAGAAAGCAAACCCTGGGACTCTCCTGTAAGAGGAACAGATCCTGGAATCTCCATGGCTGGGAAATGCTAACTAAATGCTTTTTGTTGAAAAGTAGCCACTGAAAACAACCATGGTCCTCTCAGGAGTCTCTGCCAAGATCAGTTGTAGGATGCTAGCTCATGCTAATAGGTAGAACAATCAAAAGCCCTTGGATTTATGAGTCCCTATTGATCTTAGGTCAATTCTTCTCTTCAATATTTAAGTTCCCTCAAAAAAGAAGCTCTAAGTTACTAAACATCTAAGAGGAGATAGATTACTTGCATCATTCAGGAGAAGGAAGTGCAGATTCTTACTAGGAATGTGGGCCAATTTTTAGAGATTATAAACAGATTGATAGCTGAAAGGATGTGACCTAGGGATGTAGG